GTGTTCACGCTTACGGTGATTTTCAGACCGCATTCCATTTTCTGCTCCCCCCTCCTCTTTTCCGAACATATATGACCTCATCCATCTGGCAAACTGCCAAATGGCTGTCCTTGGTGCTGACGTTAGAACAAACCGCCACTTTTTTCAAAATTTCTTGCTGTGGATTTAACACCTGGTGACGATTGCTTGTGTTGCAGTCGAAACGTCGTGAGAATTGTATTGTTTTATATTTATATTATTTTATTATTTCCCTTCTGCGTGACTTTACCGAAAGAACGAAGAATATGAACCCCTGCAGTCATGAAAGCTTTAAATCAGGTGTTAAGATGTTCAAACAGCAATAGATACCTTTGGAAAGGACTCAAGCCTGCATTAAACCACACGTACTTGTTATGAACCTGCAAACAAACATGCTCACTGTTCGCCTTTGGCTTTCTCTGGTCTGACACTGGTGAGACTAGGCCATAAAGAAGGTTGTCTCTGTTCTAGGCCAATCAGTTTCAATGGCATTGCATCATATATGATTATCAGAGAATGTTTGTTTGCATGTTCACCACAAGTACGTGTGGTTAATGCAGATTTGATTCCTTACAAAAAAGTATCTATTTGGTGTTTGAACATCAGAGCACCTAGTTTTTGGCAGAAAAGGCAAAACCTATTCTTATTTTTCATAAGATGATGCTGGGTAAGACCCGGGCTGTGTGATGCTGCTGTGAGTAATGATGCTGTGAATGATGATGCTGTGTAATGATGCTGTGTGCGTTGGTACTGTGTAAGACACGGGCTGTGCGAGTCACTTTTGGTTCTGGTCTCACAGGAGAGACGCTCAGAAGGGATCTCCACCCTCATCTCCCAAAAAAAAAGACATCGCCTCGATCAGTGCCCTGCAGGGAGCTGTGGTCAACCTGCTGGCATTCATGTGTGAGTACCACGGACTATTGCCATGTGTGCATCTGCTATTGTGCATGTGTAGTGACATAAGAAGGGAGGGCTGCTGGGGGCTCTGGGTTCCCGGGCGGGTCCAGACGCTTAAGCCTCTGGGCGCCAGGCGCTGGGTTCCCAGGGGGTCCAGACGCTTAAGCCTCTGGGCGCCAGGCGTTGGGTTCCCAGGGGGTCCAGACGCTTAAGCCTCTGGGCGCCGCCAACGGGGGGGGGGGCTGTGTGTGCTCTGTGGGATGTCTGGTGGCGCACACGGCCCCACCCCTTGTTGGACCAGGCATAAAAGGAGAGCTCCCTGGACGATCGGGGCCCAGTTGTAACTCAATACCCAAGACCCACGACCAGCCATCTGAAGACCCTGGGATGCTGTGAGAGCCAGCGCTGGGACTCTGGAACTCCCGACTCTACGACCTTGTGAGGGCGAGTTCCGGAGCGTAGCCAGAGTAGAGTATCTAGGCTGTGTAGCTTGGCTGTGTACCTAGGCTGTAACAGAGTATCAGGACTGTTGGAGAGTTGGACTGTTGGAGTGTTGTATTGTAATAAAGAAGTTACCTCTACAAGTGTCTCCGGAACCCGTACACATGCAATTGTGCTTGTACATGTACGTTGCAGAGCGGTAGTATAGTGGTTAGTTTGCTGCGCTATGAAACTGGCATCCTGAGTGTGAATCCCGCTCAAGGCCAACACCAGTGATGGGTTATCTGAACCGGTCCTGGACCTCCCGTAGGTCCACTCAGCCTCAAATGAGTACCTGGTGCGGTGTGTAAACATACCACTAGTGAGACAAAGGCGGATCGGCCGTGGTGCTGGCCACTCACCCCATCGTGTGCCGTGTGGGCCTTCATAGGTGCTTACTAACAGCACTTTCCCCAAAAGTCTGTTGAGGATATACGGGGTATCGTGTCTTTGTAATAGTGTATAGATATATATTGAACTTCTTTCACACCAACTGTGATAATCGGAGGTGTATGGATGTATGGTTGAGCGAGAGTAAGTATGGATGTCCAGTCAAAATGGGATGGTTTGTGCACTGAGATACAAACATGGTCACCAACAGGCTATTCACGGCCCTGGCTAACATCAGTGGTGAGTGGATTCAGAACCAATTTGGAGCTCTCCTAGGTCCACTCAGCCTTAATGAGTACCTAGGACGTCTTGTAAACAATCACCAATGCAGACACAAAGGCTGCCTGTAGGATACCCAAGGAGCATACGTCCAGACTAAGAAACTTTTAGGAGTCTTAGGCTTCATGTTAACAGTTTGATGCAGAGAGAGTCAAACTAAGGCACTTTAAGAATTCTTAGGTTCCCCAGTTAATGGCTGATGCTCAGAGCCAGACAAAGACATAACCATGGTCAACCTTGTCTATCACGAACTGTACGTGCACACACACACATTACGACTATACTGTATTCATTAGACGATAATATATAGCACACACACTAGGGTATTTCACTATTACATGGGCTCCATTGATATTACACGCGAGTATTATCCAGTGAGGATGATGTTGGCCAAAGTAACCATTGTAGCAGATTAATCAATGACTATAAGTCTTCTCTGTGATAGATGTCATCATCAGACTCGAGCCAACTGCATCACCATTGTGATGCATATGGTTCATTGTTAATGCTGTAGGCTCATAACCAGACTAAGACAGCCTAATGATTCTCATTCATTCATAATGCTTGAAGCTGCTATATCCCTACTAAGGCACAGTAAGGATTATGGGGTTCAATGTTAATACTCGAGGCTATCATTGTGACTGACCATGTGTATCAATGTACATACATACAGATACATTACTATTGCCCATGTATTGCAATACCTCTACGTTAACATACAGCACACACACGAGTGTAAAGAAGTATTACATGAGCTCTATTAGCACTATACGTGTGTATTATTCAATGAGGATGCTGTTGCTATGCTGTGTGTGTGTTTTACACAGAGACACTGTGGCTGAGATTCTTATGATTAATTATTAGTACTTGAGGCTGCGATATCCAGACTCACACAGTTAGGATTCATAGAGTTTAGTGTTAATGCCTAAAGCTCTAAGACTCAAAGGCACGTTTCGGATTCTGTGTTACAATTCAGAGGTTAATCAGACAGCCAATCAGACAGCCAGCCGGCTTGACCTTAGTTGACCGTCTAACTCACTACCTAGCCAAAAAGGTAAACTACTAAAAAACATATATCAATATACCTACACATTAAAATATAGCACATACACACAGATGAGTGCAAATCACTATTACTTGACCTCTATTAACATTACACATGTGTATAATTGAGTGAGGATGCTATTGCTTTTCTGCGTGTGAGTCTGACACACACACGCTAGGGCTGAGATGTTTAGGATTCATTATTAGTGCTTGAGGCAGTGAGATACATACACCTTGAGGATTCTTAGGGTTGAGTGTTACAGCCTGAAGCTCTCAGAATCAAAGGCAACTTTAGGTTTCATTAGACAACCAGGCCAAGGCATCAGCAAAGTTGCCCGTGGAAATCACTACACAGGCAACAACAAATTAATTACAAAAGAACACGTATGAACATATACCAATACGTTGATATAGACAGAGATCCCTTGTATGGCCTTAACAGACTGTTGGGGAAAGTGCTGTTAGCGAGCTCCTATGAAGGGGTGGGTGGCCGGCACCACGCCCGACCGCCTTTGTCTCCCCAGTGGCGATGTTTAAACACCGCAGTCAACACTACACTATCACACACACACACACGAGTGTACATCACTACACTATCACACACAAACACGAGTGTACATCACTACACTATCACACACACACACGAGTGAACATCACTACACTACCACACACACACGAGTGTACATCACTACACTATCACACACACACACACACAAGTGTACATCACTGCACTATCACACACACACACACACACACGAGTGTACATCACTACACTATCACAGACACACGAGTGTACATCAATACACTATCACACACACAGTGTACATCACTACACTATCACACACACACGAGTGTACATCACTACACTATCACACACAGAGAGTGTACATCACTAGACTATCACACACGAGTGTACATCACGACACTATCACACGAGTGAGCAGCTGGTGCGTGTGTAAACGTCACCACATGGGAGACAAAGGCGGCCGGGCGTGGCGTTGGCCAACCCCAGCCCCTTGTGTGCCGTGTCGGCCTTCACAGCCACTCACCAAAAGCACTTGCTGATACAATCTGTGAAAGGTTATACGGGAGATCGTTGAGTTTGTTGTACACACACGGACGCTACGGCGTGTTGATATCCACGCTGCTGATGCTGCTGCTGCTGCTGCTTCTGCGATCCACTGCCCCACCTCCTGGCACCTCGCAAAGCCCCGCAGGGGCTGCGCCTGGGCAGGGCTCGCACGGGCAGCCACCACAACCATGCCTAGCAGGTGCTACAGGCTGCGCGGCCACGTGGCGGGGCAGTCACCACCCTGCCTAGCAGGTGCTACAGGCTGCGGGGCCAAGTGGCAGGGCAGCCACCACCCTGCCTAGCAGGTACTATAGGCTGCGGGGCCACGTGGCGGGGCAGTCACCACCATGCCTAGCAGGTGCTACAGGCTGCGGGGCCACGTGGAGGGGCAGTCACCACCCTGCCTTGCAGGTGCTACAGGCTGCGGGGCCACGTGGCGGGGCAGTCACCACCATGCCTAGCAGGTGCTACAGGCTGCGGGGCCACGTGGCGGGGCAGTCACCACCATGCCTAGCAGGTGCTACAGGCTGCGGGGCTACGTGGTGGGAAAGCAGATGGCAGGGCGGGTAAATGCACCGCTGTACTGTACTTCTGTGCTCTCGCCAGCTACGCCGCCTGCCTTCGCCAACGTGTGGTGACCGGCGTGGTGAAGTATGGTCATCCAGCAGTGGATTGACAAAGTGCCCGTTACATGTCATCACACCGATAGCTACGCATAACAACGTTGTATAATAAAGCTCATTATGAATTGCTCTATTGTAGTGTACGTGCGTGTTAGTGCACGAGTGCTATTGTTATCGTGGTGCTGCTGTTACTGCAGATGGACGCTCACCGACTCTGGACCCAAACTCGGCCTACAACAACCTCCAGATTTCCTCGGACCTCAGGACGGTGACGCTGACCGCTGTCTCCCAGGGTCGCCCCGATCACCCAAACCGCTTTGATGCCTGGGACCAAGTCCTGTGCTCCGAGAGCTTCTCGTCGGGTCAGCACTACTGGGAGATGGACCTGGGGGGTGCGGCGAGGAGCTGTAAGGTTGGAGTCGTGTACGGGACGATCGCACGGAAAGGGGGTGGTAAAGAGTGCAGCCTTGGACAGAACGACTCATCCTGGGTTTTATATAAAGATTACAACAGCTGCTACGTGCTTCATGGTGATGTCTGGACCTCAGTGCCGGTGAGGAATCCTCCCCGGAGAGTCGGGTGTCACCTGCACTGGGAGGCGGGGCTGCTGTCGTTTTACCGCGCCGACTCCATGGAGTTGCTGCACTCCGTCCACCACTCGTTTAGTCAACCGCTCTACCCCGCGCTGTGGGTGTATGGTGGTGATGTTGGTAACTCAGTGAGGATTCTGGATCTGAGTCGTGCGTGCTGAGAGCACGGAGTGTGAGCAGCGCAGAGAAACGGGCACAACGCACAGAGACTCACGCACACAAAGACACAGATCCCCCGTGTAGCCTGAACAGACTGTTGGGGCAAGTGCTGTTAGCGAGCACCTATGAAGGCCGGAACGGTACACGAGGAGGTGGGTGGCCAGCACCACGTCCAACTGCCTTTGTCTCCCCAGTGGCGATGTTTACACACCGCACCAGGTACTCATTTGAGGCTGGGTCGACCTAGTGGAGGCCCATGACCTGTATACAAACAACATTGATAGCGATTATATGAATCGGCCTTGGCTCTCACCTAGGTCGACTCAGCCTCAAATTACTACATGGCGCGATGAGCAAATATTACCCCTGTGGATACAAAGGCGGGTCACTCCCAGGATGGCCTTCATAGGTGAACCTCACTAACAGCACTTAACTCAACTGTATTTGAAAGCTATACGGGGGATCTTTGTCTTCGGGTAAGTGGGTTGGTGTGTATGTTTTTGTGGGTCTTTGTTATTGTGTTTGTGTCATTGTTACTGTCTGTGCGTGTCTTTGTGTATTTCTGGGCGTGGTGCTGCCTTCCCACTCCCTCGTGTGTCACAGTACCGGCCTTCATCGGTGCGACTCGCTACTAACAGCATTTGCCCCAACAGTATGTTAAGGTTACACGGGGTGTCATTGTCTTTAGTGTATAGAGAGCCATGTGTGTAGTGTGGGGTGGAGCGGTGATGCAGTGGTTAGCGCACTAGTGGGGGGGGGGGGGCAAGGTTATCTCTGACGCCATCGTCCCTCGCACCGCATCGCACGCCGCGTGGCGCTCAACGCCGAGAGGGCGGAGCTCCACCACAGGCGTGCGGGGAACACGCGTCACGTGACGCTACGGGGTGACGCGCGCCGTCCCCTCGCGGTCACTCACTCGCTGGGTGATAAACCCGGGGTGGGAATGGGATGGCATCACTTGGAGGGGACTACTCCGTGGTGTGTGCCGAGCGTCGCTGAGATAAAGCATTGTTGTTAGAACCAGCGGTCGAATGACCCCCCCACCCAAACTAGTTTATTTTACAGGGCATAGAGAGAGAGAAGCCATTTAACACATAGTAGTAGTAGGAGGTCTTTCGCCACCAATATTATTCATAAAGTTTTGTTTTGATTAATATTTTAATTATCTGCTGTCAGACTTTTGAACCTGAAGCCACAACCTTCGATTTATGGGAAAACGCTTCTGCTGACAATGGGAACTGTGTTTTGACTTTGAAGTGGGATAAAGTTATTAAGCACCTGATATATATCTAGAGTGACGATCTACCTTACAATACGACACGACTAATATTGTTTCAAAACGCATTAATAACACAGACACTGTGTTATTACAGGGATAGAGACAACGCAAACTCCAAATACAGCAGCTTTCAGGGTCGTAATCCAACCCACGACCTCCTTCATACCAAGCGAGGGAGATAACATCTCTGAGCCACCGCAGCGCCTCTCCTTAACATGAGACACCAATCCCGTGTGCACCCAACCTCGAGTCTCAGGCTATTTAGCAACGCGTAGATGATTTGAGACGCATTGATTATATCGTATCAGTTGTGTAATTGTGTGAACTCCAATCAAATTGTGCTCTGGGCTGGGGGTGAGATTTCTACTTGCTTCATTGCTTGCATGGGTTTGACTTTTGTTCTTTAAATTTTTGTGACCCAGGTCACTCTTGTCAATGAGACTCATCCTGATCTCCTGAGTCCTCACCTCGTTAAATTTAAATTCAACTCGACTCGATCATCAGCATCAGCAGAAATATCATCAGCAGAAAAAATAGTAACAGGAGCAACAGCATCAACAGCAGTAGCTCCATCATTATCTTTATCAGCACCAGGAGTAGAACTAGCATCAATAATGATATAATCATTATCAGCAGTAACAGAATCATCAACAGCAGCAGCATCATTATCATCACTCCGTGTAACCGAGACTCATACTGGTTTCTTGAGTTCTCACCTGGTTAAACAAATCGACTTTAACACGTAGGCTTTCACGACCAATTATATCAATGATAAAGGTTTATTGGGTTAGATCACGTAAATGTACATAGACTTGATTGTGTTCTGGGTTACCTGTGAATTGGAATCATTGTATTGTGGGTCAAGGGTCAATGTGTTCAGGGTGAATAAAAAATGAAATCTGAAAATTTATTGTTAAGATTGTCATCCAGGCTGTGAATGTGACTCTCATAGCTGAGACTGACTTGGGTAAACATGTATTTTTTTGGGATGGTTACTCTTGTTTTGTTTTATGGATGTTATATTTTCGGAAATTAAACCCGGGCACGGTTAGTAAATATACAGCCTACGCCTTCACAGGTAAGTTCTGTCTGTAGCCTTGGGCCACATTCCATGGCGCATTTCGTGTTATTTTTTGCTGCACTTTGTCAGTTTGCTTGTTCCTCGTCATCATGAGCTATGATGATGAATGGATCCTGACTGATGGATGATGATGAAGAGCACGATGATGATGATAATGACTACACTTGGTAATGATGACCACCACCTACTCATCTGCACCCAACACTCTCCTCGCCGACACCTGCCACTCCCTAACCTACTACCCCCCCAGCCGTCTACAGAGACCCTCTTTCCCACCTGCCCACACTCACACCTGCTCAGCCATACACCTGCTCAGCCATACACCTGCCCATCTTGCAACCCTCCCACCTGTCCACCTCATGCATATTCAAGCGCCCATTCCCGGCTGATCTCCCTCCCACCTGATCACCTGCAAACCCGCTCAACTCACCCACCCGCACAAAGGCAAAGATCCCCTGTATAGCCTGAACAGACTGTTGGGCAAGTGCTGTTAGTGAACATCTATGAAAGCCAGCACGGCACACGAATGGGTGGATGGCCAGCACCAAGCCCTGCCGCCTTTGTCTCTCGAGTATTGATATTTATACTCTACACCAAGGTAATCATGTGAGGCTGAATCGACCTATGACCAGTTCAGACAATGGTCATTGGTGTTGGTGGCCATGAGTGAGAATTTAACTTGGATCGGCAGGTTCATAGCACAGCACACTAACCACGACAACACCAATCTCCACCTACACACACCTGCACAACCACCCACACGATCACCCTCCTACCCTCCCACCTGATCCCCCACTCATTTACACGTTAAGTTGTGAGATGATTTGTCAAAAAAATAACAATATTAATGGTTACTATTTTTTAAAGACAATTTTAAACAGTTACGCTAAAATAAATACAGAACAAATGAATGGCAATGATATAGATGACATACTTAAAAAATAACTTTTATAATAATGTTTTACAAGGTACGGTTTGGTGCAGAAACCCACAGAGCCTCACCATAGCCAACGACATCAGTCCAAGGGACAAACCATCACCGTTTGCCTGGCCACTCTGGGTTTTGTAAAAGTCGCGACCCGTAAACCCCAACACCGCGGTGTGAATGCAACGCTCCTGTCTACGCAGGTGAGAGTCGATTCGTGTCTTGGTTCGTCGCCGCCGTGTGCGCTCCAGGGACAGCGTCTCTCAGCCACAGCGAGCTACTATTGGTGAGAAGCCACTGAGAGTCGTGGCGAGCGCAGCTCCCACTGAGAGCGTAGCGCGTGGACCTGGCTCCCGTCTGGAAGTGGTCAAAGCCGACCGTGTAACGTGTCTTACGTTGTGTCTAGCCAGCTACGTGCGGTATGAAGCTCGTGTCTGTGACCTTGATCACCTGAGCACATTTCCACGGAGTATCTCGTGAGGTTTGTAACCTCGTGCTAAGTAATGTTGGCTTCCTTGTTCATCTCCGATGTTGTGAACCCCAGGATGTGGATGGTTAAAATATTTTACCGGGAAAGTCGCTCGATTAAACTTCTCGTTCGCAAGGGTGTCCGAGGTGTCAAGTAACACATTCGTAAAAACTTCAATAAAACGATTTACTATGGACTATATTTCGTTATATTTCACCAGGTAAGGTACACTGAGCAATGTAGCTCTTATTCAGAAACGATCTGGCCATCAAATGATGACGAAGTGGCTTATCATAATGTGGAAATGTATTTCAGTAACTTAGTACTCTAAAAGCGTGATGTTGATTCTAAATGAGGGAAAAACGACCACGGTGAGAAAGAGAGACACGCAAACTCCTAATATGCAGCAGGCGTCGGGGTCGGGATCGAATCCACGACCTCCTGCAGACCAGGCGAGGGTGTTAACATCTAAATCACTCCAAATAAAACGTTAAAATCTACATCTTATTCGGTTTACGTTCATGTACAACGTGAAACACAATGATACAGAGCCAAGAACAGAGGCAAGGCATCACACCCATGAGCATTAGAGGGCAGTCAAACGCACGAATGTGCGGTGCGCACTGCCGTTTCATGTGGTACGTTCACTCGCTGTCAAAATAACTCCACGCGTTCGTCAAACACTGCGTGGAGCTTAAAAGTAACATTAATCGACCTTTCAGGCAACGGCCCTACTTCATAGGACATAATTGAGAGTTAATCAAGACTGCGATTATGAATGAGTGTGTAAAGTAGTAACTCGGCAGGAGACGACTTCACGGGTAGCACACTCTTTATTTTCACCAACTTGTAGTTACACGGATGACTAACACCCTACTTCGTTACACGGGTGAC